GAGTCCAGAGTCTGCAGGAACGTAAGGGAAAAGTACAAGAAAAATCAGCTGGTCTAACAGAGAGAGTCACTGCCCTGTTCATAGAGCTCAGGAGACAACTGGAGGACCTGGAGAAGAGAGTCCTGAGGGAGATCGCCAGCCAGGAAGAGCGGCTTTCATGTCCATTGTCTGAGATGATCCATCAACTGGAGATAAAGAAGAAGGATCTGTCCAGGAAGATGGGGGACATTGAGGAGCTGTGTAACATGACCGACCCCCTGACTGTCCTCCAGGAATCAGACACAGGGGACTTGTGTGATACTGAGGAGGGAGATGATGAGGACAGAGAGAGACATGATAGACTCCTCCATGATGGAGGGGATCTGGATGTGGCTGGAATCTCACACACATTACACACAGGGATATCTGATATGATAAAAGGGGGAAATGTATGCTTCAATATACAGGAAGCTTCAGACTTATTACTGGATGTGAACACAGCTCATAATAATCTACAGATATCAGATGACATGAAAACTGCATCCAGGTCAGATACAAAGCAGAATCGTCCAGAAACACCAGAGAGATTTCAGTACTGGGCCAGGTATTAAGCAGTCAGAGTTTTTTTCCTCGGGGCGACATTACTGGGAAGTGGATGTCAGTGAGGCAGAATATTGCAGAGTCGGGATGTGTTATCCCAGTATAGAGAGGGGAGGAGGAGGATTGCAGTCAGGGATTGGAATAATAACAAGTCCTGGGTTTGAGGAAGTATAACAGTGGGTGTTTTCTATTACATGATGATAAACCAATCCCCATATCTCCCGATACCCCCCCTGATAGAGTCAGGATCTATGTGGATTATGAGGCCGGGCAGCTGTCCTTTTATGATCTGTGTGACCCCATCAGACACCTCCACACCTTCACCACCACCTTCACTGAGCCCCTCCATGCCGGGTTGTATGTAGGAAAAGGTCGTATAAAGATCTCTGGGGGGGTCAGGAGACATGTAAAATGATCATATGACAGGAAATCTGACCTGAATCTGGTGAAATCTGCTGAGAAATGTGAATCTGGTTCATAGGATGACACCGTTTGTAGAGATAATATATTTCTTCAATCGGTAGATCTGGTAGATCTCAGCCTAGGAGAGTGTGTCCTCCATCACTTTCAAATGCACTCACACCAAACTTGCAAGCTTGAGAACGCCCGATGGGAGGGGCGAAACGTGTTGACGCATTTCCGGTCCATACCCCGTACGTCTGACGTCACTTCCGGTGAGTGGAGCACACGCTGTGCGGTGCGTTCCAGCGGCCATCTTTGGGAGCTGTGTTGCTCTGTGTGGATTCTCTGCTCTATCCTGTGGCTGATGTGAGATTCCTGGAATAAGGAGGCTGTTAAAACGCTCATGTTTCATCTGGAGGCTATTATATTCAATAAATGTGCCTTTTACAAGCCGCATCTTTCAGAAAACACCGCAAAATGCGTACTTTATAGAAGTCAATGGGACTGTGGCTAAAAACGCACGTAAACCATGCAGTCTGTAATAAGATCGGGGATGATATTTGTTAGTTATCGCTGTTTCTGATGTCATGGTATTGCTGTCGTTGATAAGATGTGATGGTATAAAGAAAAAAAATATTTTTTTAACCCTTTACATTTCTTCTTTTTTGGTGTATTCTATATTCCATGTTATATAAAGAATATGTCAGTAAATCTGGGTGATGGTCCATATATCTGTATAAATTCACCAATAAAATATCAGAAGAGATATTGCTGTGATGTGAAGTTTGATTCTCTGTGACAGATGGTTGGGGGGTGGGGGAGGCACTAAGGGGGGTATAAAGGGAAATCTGAGCGTAGCGTTTTTCATGCATATTTTACCGCGTTTTAGCAGCTTTTGAGCTTTGTAGTTCTTTACCCAACAGAGAAAAATATCATCTGTTGCATCATTTGTTGCAAGGTTTTTCTGCTTCAGCTTTTCCATCAGCTTTTATTTTTTTTTTTTTTTTTATTATTCATTTATTGTTTTTGTTTTTTTTTTTAGGGTAAGGGGTTAGAGTTAAGGTTAGGGTTAGGATTAGGGTTTGGGTTGGGGTTAGTGTTTTATTTATTTTCTTCTTATTTATTTATTTTCTGTTAGGGTTAATATTAATAATAAATGAATAAATACATGTAAAATAAATGCACAAGTAAAAAAAATAATCATAGATAAATACTTTGTAATGATAAGTAATAATGTACCCCTAACCTTAACCCTCTAACCTTTAAAAAATATATTAAACAAAATGATAATATTAAAAAATAAATAAATACCTAAAACATAGTTACATAGTTATATAGTTATATAGTTAATCTGGCTGAAAAAAGACAAAAGTCCATCCAGTTCAACCATAAAAAAAAAGTTATAATCCTACACCCACAGTTGATCCAGTGGAAGGCAAAAAAAAACCCAGCAAAGCATGATCCAATTTGCTCCTGCAGGGAAAAAAAAATTCCTTCCTGATCCCCCGAGAGGCAATCGGATATTCCCTGGATCAACTTTACCTATAAATGTTATATCCAGTTATATTCTGTGTATCTAAGAAAGAATCCAGGACTTTCCTAAAGCAATCCACTGAGCTGGTGAACATATCCCCCCTTATGTATTATACATGGAGATCATATCCCCCTTATGTATTATACATGGAGATCATATCCCCCTTATGTATTATACATGGAGATCATATCCCCCCTTATGTATTATACATGGAGATCATATCCCCCCTTATGTATTATACATGGTGATCATATCCCCCCCTTATGTATTATACATGGAGATCATATCCCCCTTATGTATTATACATGGAGATCATATCCCCCCTTATGTATTATACATGGAGATCATATCCCCCCTTATGTATTATACATGGAGATCATATCCCCCCTTATGTATTATACATGGAGATCATATCCCCCTTATGTATTATACATGGAGATCATATCCCCCCTTATGTATTATACATGGAGATCATATCCCCCCTTATGTATTATACATGGTGATCATATCCCCCCCTTATGTATTATACATGGAGATCATATCCCCCTTATGTATTATACATGGAGATCATATCCCCCCTTATGTATTATACATGGAGATCATATCCCCCCTTATGTATTATACATGGAGATCATATCCCCCCTTATGTATTATACATGGAGATCATATCCCCCTTATGTATTATACATGGAGATCATACCCCCCTTATGTATTATACATGGTGATCATATACCCCCTTATGTATTATACATGGAGATCATATCCCCCCTTATGTATTATACATGGAGATCATATCCCCTTATGTATTATACATGGAGATCATATCCCCCTTATGTATTATACATGGTGATCATATCCCCCTTATGTATTATACATGGCGATCATACCCCCCCTTATGTATTATACATGGAGATCATATCCCCCCTTATGTATTATACATGGCGATCATATCCCCCTTATGTATTATACATGGAGATCATATCCCCCTTATGTATTATACATGGTGATCATATCCCCCTTATGTATTATACATGGAGATCATATCCCCCCTTATGTATTATACATGGTGATCATATCCCCCCTTATGTATTATACATGGTGATCATATCCCCCCTTATGTATTATACATGGTGATCATATCTCCCCTTATGTATTATACATGGTGATCATATCCCCCTTATGTATTATACATGGAGATCATATCCCCCCCTTATGTATTATACATGGAGATCATATCCCCCCTTATGTATTATACATGGAGATCATATCCCCCTTATGTATTATACATGGAGATCATATCCCCCTTATGTATTATACATGGAGATCATATCCCCCCTTATGTATTATACATGGAGATCATATCCCCCCTTATGTATTTATACATGGAGATCATATCCCCCCTTATGTATTATACATGGAGATCATATCCCCCTTATGTATTATACATGGTGATCATATCCCCCCTTATGTATTATACCACGGTGATCATATCCCCCCCTTATGTATTATACATGGAGATCATATCCCCCTTATCTCCTCTTCTCAAGGAGAAGAGCAGCACAGCCATCCTGATCAGTGTGCTTTACAGTGAAGCACCCCCGCCCCCCCCCTAGTAAAACACTCCCATCACACAGTTAACCTTTTGAACGCCCTCAAATGTTAACCCCTTCCTGCTCAGTGCCATTAGTACAGCGTCAGTGCTTTTCTATTTTAGCACTGATCAGTCAGTGATATCAAGTCAGCCCCCTCCCCCTCCCCAGTGTCAGAATGTCCGCCGCAGTCGCACTATAAATCGCTGATCGCCCAATAAGTTGCTGATCGCCGCCATTATTAGTATATATATAAAAAAATTCTACTATCTATACCGCCATTATTAACCACTTGCCTACCGGGCACTTATACCCCCTTCCTTACCAGGCCAATTTTCAGCTTTCAGCGCTGCCGCACTTTGATTGACAATTGCGCAGTCATGCAACATTGTACCCATATGAAATTTTGATCATTTTTTTCTCACAAATAGAGCTTTATTTTGGTGGTATTTAATTGCCACTGGGCGCTTTACTTTTTGCGCTATAAATAAAAAAAGTGCAAAAAATTTTGAAAAAAAAAAAAATTTTCTTTGTTTCTATTATAAAATTTTTCAAACAGGTATTTTTTCTCCTTCACTGATGTGCGTTGATGAGGCAGCACTGATGGGCACTGATAGGCGGCACTGATGGGCACTGATAGGCGGCACTGATGGGCACTGATAGGCAGTACTAATGAGGTGACACGGATAGGCGGCACTGATAGACAGCACTAATGAGGTGTCACGGATAGGCGGCACTAATGTGCAGCACTGATAGGCGGCACTGATAGGTGACACTGATGATGGGTACTGATAGACGGCACTGACTGGCATCATTGCTGGGCACTGACTGGCGGCACTGACTGGCACAACCCCTGGGCACTGACTGGTGGCACTGACTGGCAGCACTGCTGGGCTGCACTGGTGGGTGGCACTGGTGGGCAGCACTGGTGGGTGGGCACAGGTGGGTGGGCACAGGTGGGTGGCACTGGTGGGCACAGGTGGGTGGGCACAGGTGGGTGGCACTTCTGGGCACAGGTAGGTGGCACTTCTGGGCACAGGTGTGTGACACTGCAGAGTGGCACAGGTGGGTGCACTGCTGGGCACAGGTGGGTGCACTGCTGGGCACAGGTGGGTGATCTGCTGGGCACAGGTGGGGGTTCTGAGCTAGTGGGCGCACTGCTGGGCACAGGTGGGCGGAACTTGCGGGGTGGCACTGCTGGGGCACCGATCATCAGGGCACTGATCATCAGTGTCCTGATGATCGGTGCCGATCCCCACTGTGACAACTGCCGGTTCTCGGCAGTACTTTCCTCACGATCTGACAGCGTGAGGAAAGTACAGCCGAGAACCGGCACTTGCATTTCCCTGTGATCAGTGTGTCATTGGACACCGCTGATCACGTGGTAAAAGGCCGCTGGGATCGGCCTTTTTACCAACACATCACGTGATCAGCTGTGTCCGTTAGGACACAGTGATCACAGAGATCGCCGGGTGCGCGCCCCCTAGGGCGCGCAGTGAGAGCGCGTTCTGGGGGGACGTCATATGACGTCCACCCAGAAACTGGCCGGGCCGCAGTGAAGCCGTCATTCGGCTATCTGCGGTCCGGCAACTAGTTAAACACTATAACTTTCACGTAAATTAATTAATTTCCACGTATTGGGATTTTTTTTCAGCAAAGACATGGAGCAGAAATACATTTTGGCCTAAATTTATGACGAAATTTGATTTAAAAATTTTTTTTTACTGGTGATGTTTAATAGCATAAAGTCCAAAATATTGTTTTTTTTTCCTCAAAAATTGTCGGGCTTTTTTTTTTATAGCACAAAAAATAAAGAATGCAGAGTTGATCAAATACCACGAAAAGAAAGCTTTATTTGTAGGAAAAAAAGGACATAAAATTTCATTTGGTGCAGCAGCGTTGTATGACCGCGTAACTGTCAGTTAAATTAACACAGCACAGTAATGCAAACAACTTCTTTAACTGCTTCCTGACCATCCTATAGCAGAAATACTGCTACAGTGCGGCAGGGGTGCGCAAAAATTACATTTATATACCTGATTAGCACTCCCCTGATTTTCATGCCCCTCCCAGATAGTGTCAGATTTGCCCTTCTGTACACCAGTCATCACATTTAACCCCTTGATTGCCAGGAAGACGCCTCATACACAATAAACCTTCATTGCTAGTATAGTGTAAGAACGGATCAATATCTTTAGAGCAGATCAGTACTATACAAGCGTTCACATTAGTATAGTGTCCCCAAAAAACACTGCGTTAGCGAGATCAGCCCCGGGCACCTGCCAGCACTTGCTTTTAGCCCCAACGCTTTACCCCTCCCCCTTTTCCCCCAAGCAAGTGCAGTGTCAGTAGGTCACTGTCACTTGATACATTGCACACAAAGCCGCAGTGTTCGCAGAATCAGGCCTGATCTCTGTTAGCACTTGCCGGTAAATTTTGATGACTCTCATATGCAGCAGAGTGCCAGTACTAGTGCCACGCTACCTTTTGGTGAACTGGTGAGCACCAACGGCTTAGTACATCCTGGTCTTTCACATACCAGCACTGCAGTATGACTTGGCGACGTGGCAAATCCCATAAGTGCAGTACAAGCTGGTGTGGTGGCGAGCACAAGTATTGTCCCGCAACCACCAAGAATTTGCACACAGGCCCATAGAGCCCCCTAGTATCCTTCTGGATGTGCTTGCAAAATCCCGATACTTCCCCCATTCACCTGCCCAATTCAGAATTCAGGTGGAAACAGCAAATTTAACTACTCCCCTTGATTTCTTGGAGCTTTTTTTTCACGGAAGATCTGTATGAATTGATTGTGGATCAAAGCAATTTATATGCAGAACAATTTATCACCGCCAACCCAAATTTCAAACCTTGCCAGACCATTCGCCTTGAAACCCATTCTGAATTTAAATTTTTTGGGGGGCCTAACCTCAACATGGGCTTACTAAAAAAAATTAATTGGTCCACAGACCTGATCCATCACATGCCCGTTCATTTCTGCTGCCATGGCCAGGCATAAATATGTGAGAGTATAATAATAACATGTTTTATGTATTTCAACGACAATACACTCTTTTTGTCATCCTCGTGGTGACCATGAATTTTGACCGGCTCCACAAAATTCCTGCCCTCTTAAATCACCTTAACCAAAAATTTGCAGATGTCTAAACTCCAAACTCAAAAAACAAAAAGAGAGGAAGAAAAAAGGCTGTACACCTTTTTTCTTCCTCTCTTTTTGCATATTTGATTAGGTAGCACCCTTCCAGACATTCTGGTGGCACTCCACTTTAGACACATGTACATGGATTCCCCCAGAGTTTCCCAATTCCTTTTCTGATTTTTTGAGATGTCTCGATACTCCCAGAAAAATAAGAATCTGCATTTATGAGTCCCTTATTAATTTTTTCTGGCCGCCTTGCAATTCAAACAATTTTACCCCCAGCAAGCATGCCAGATATGGGTCAATATGTATAAGACCTGTGACAGGGCAACAGGCTACACATATTAAGTTTCACATTTTACAAGGGAAAAGATAGTCACGTGGAGGCCCCCCGGATGCCCAGACTACATGGGGAGCAGTGGTTAAGATGGTTTGGGACTTGATTGTCATCTCTTTTTTCCATATATGGGGTACCCCTTATACATGGACAATTTTTATTCAAGCGTGACCACTATTTAGACATTTGTACAATCTTTTTTTTTCAGCCGGCGATTGGCTCTTTCATGTAAAAGGCAATCATAGTGGCTAGCCTGGCAGGATTGCTTTTATAAGCAGCGGGAGAAGTTGCCCCCCTCCCCCGCTGCCTTCCACGCCCTTCTCGGGCTGTCTGTGTCATTGGGGGAACCTGAGCATGCTAGCGGGGTTCTGCCAGCAGGTACCATAGCAGCTGTCTGGAGACCGGAGGGGGGCCCCCGGGGGGGGGGGGGGGGGGGGGGGGGGGGGGGGGGGGGGGGGGGGGGGGGGGGGGGGGGGGGGGGGGGGGGGGGGGGGTTTGGGGGGGGGGGGGGGGGGGGGGGGGGGGGGGGGGGGGGGGGGGGGGGGGGGGGGGGGGGGGGGGGGGGGGGGGGGGGGGGGGGGGGGGGGGAAGGGGGGGGGGGGGGGGGGGGGGGGGTTTTTTTGGGGGGGGGGGGGGGGGGGGGGGGGGGGGGGGGGGGGGTTTTTTTGGGGGGGGGGGGGGGGGGGGGGGGGGGGGGGGGGGGGGGGGGGGGGGGGGGGGGGGGGGGGGGGGGGTTTTTGGGGGGGGGGGGGGGGGGTGGGGGGGGGGGGGGGGGGGGGGGGGGGGGGGGGGGGGGGGGGGGGGGGGGGGGGGGGGGGGAAAATTTTTTTTTTTTTTTTCCCCCCCCCCAAAAATTTTTTTTTTTTTTTGGGGGGGTTTTTTTTAAAAAAATTGGGGGCAGGATTGCTTTTATAAGCAGCGGGAAAAGTTGCCCCCCTCCCCCCCCCCCCCCCTTTTTGGGGGGTTTTTTTGGGGGAACCTGAGTTTGGGGGGTTTTTTCCCCCCCCCTTTTAAAAGGGAAGGGCCTTAAAATTTTAAAATTTTTAAAAAAAACCTTTTTTTCTTTTTTGGGAAAAAAAAACCCCCAAAAAAAAAAAGGGGAAATTTTTTTTTTTGGGGTTTTTTTTGGGAAAAAAAGGGGGGGGTTTTTCCCCGTTTTAAAAAAAAAAAAAAAAAATTTAAAATTTTTTTTTTAAATTTTTTCCCCCCCTTTTTAAAAAAAAATTTTTTAAAAGGGGGCCCCAAAAAAATTTTCCCCAATTTTTTAAACCCCTTTTTAAAAACTTTTTTTAAAAGGGGTTTGGGGTTTTAAAAAAAAAAATTTCCCCTTTTAAGGGGCCCCCAAAGGGCTGGTTTTTTTTTTTGGTTTTTTCCCTCGGATTTTTTTTTAAAAAAAAAGGGGTTTTTTTTTTTTTAAAAATAAAAAAAAAAAATTTTAAAAAAAAATTTGAAAAAAAAATTTTTAAAAAATTTTTTTTTTTTCCCCATTTTTTTTTTTTGGGGAAAAAAAAAATTTTTGGGGTTTTTTTTTTTTAAAAAAAAAAATTTTTTTTTTTTTGGGGAAAAAAATTTTAAAAGGGGGGGGGTTTTTTTGGGGAAAAAAAAGGGGGTTTTTTGGGCAAAAAATTTTTTTTAGGCATAAAATGCTAAAAACCCCCCAAAAACCCCTTTTTTGGAAAGTGGGCCCCAAAATATTTGCTGAGAGGCATTTTGGGGTTTTAAAGAAATTTTTTTTTTTACCCTTTAAATTTTTGGAAAATGAAAAAAAAAAAAAATTTTGCTTTTTTTACACATAATTGGGCTCTTAAATGATTTATTGCTCAACATTTTCCCCTAGGTTATATGGGAAATTTCTCCCCAAAATTCATTCTGCTTTGAGTATGGGGGGTTTCCACATGTGAAAAGACTTTTTGGCGTTGCCAAGTACAGGACCCCCCAAACCCCCAAAAGCACCTTTTAGGGGTTTTTTTAAAAGGGTTTTTTTTTTCCCCCATTACACTTTCCCGACTGCCCATCAAAAGTTTTTTTTTTTTTTTTTTTTTTTTTTGGGGCCCTTTTTTTTTTTTTTTTTTTTTTTTTTTTTTTTTTTAAATTTTTGGGGCCAAAAAATTTGCCCCCAACCCTCCTCTAATAGGGACTTTTTGGAAAATAGGGCACCCCAAAGGGAAATTTTTTCAGAAGCTTTGGGGAGCATTTTTAGATCTCATTTGTTGCCACCCTTTTTGGGAAAAAAAAAGAAAAAGAAAAAAAAAAACATTTTTTTTTTTTCTTTTTTTTTATTTCAAAACCTTGTGAGAAAAAATGAGATCTGCAAAAATCACCATGCCTTTTTTAAATTCTTTGGTGTGTCTACTTTCCCAAAAAAGGGGGGGTTGGGGGGGGGGTTTCTATCCTGGCCCTGTCAGGGCCCTTTGAAAATGTGATAGGTAGTGAGGGAAATGGAAATTGGGGGTGGGGGTTTTGCACCTTCAGGCTTTCAAAGTGGTCATTAGTTTTTTAGGCTCCCCGTTTGTGGTAGGTCCCCCAAAAAAATTTTCACAATTTTTGGTTTCCCCATACTCGGTTTGAAGTAAGCAGAAAAGTATTTTGGGGGTGTCATTCCACAATTTTTACCCGTGGCTTATGCGAGAAATTTTAAAACAAATTTTAAAAGACTACTTTGTGTAAAAAAAAAAATTTTTGTAATTTTCCAAAAAAATTGTGGAAAAAAATAATTCTTCCATGAATCAATTTTTCCTTCAGTAGATAGCTTTTGGGTTTTTTTCCCTTTTTGAAAAGGGGGCATTTGGGGGTGTTTGTATTTTCCCCGGTATTTTAGGGCCCCCAAGAAATGTGATGGGCAGTCAAAAAGTTTAAAAGCTGTGTAAAAATTTCCCTTATGTATAACCCTAGTTTTGTAGACGCTATAACTTTCAC